CTGCGATGTTCCTTACTTGCTGATAATATTCACTTCGGTGTGACTCTCGTATCTGCTGTGACACATGTGACCCAGCTGATCACCCAAAATATCGACCACAATAACTTCAATAAAGGGAAGGGCCCGCGCCGCGCTCGAGTGGCGGGCTCGTTCTTTCTCATTTGCGCCCGAACCGCAACCCATACTTTGACCCATATTTCTCGATGATGTTCACGTCTAGGTGAAATATTCAAATAACCGGAGCTGCCCTTTCTCTCCTAGCACCAGTACCCATCTGGCAGCTCTGCGACGGACACAATCTATGCGCCCATACGTCGCCTTCCTCCCGAAATCCTCGCTCACATATTCTCACTTCACTCCGAGACATCCGCGCCCGCGGCCATCTCTGAAGCCGAGTTTGATCGCCTGCTGAACGTCCGGCTTTTGACATTGTCCTGCGTGTACAGACTGCGTCCTGCAAACCCCGCGCTGTGGTCCACCACGTCTCAACGGCGTGCTCTGGAGCACTTCAACACCCCGCAGCTACAGGCCAGAAAGACCCGTTGGCGCACTGGCAGCGCACCCACGATATCTAAATGTTCGGCATGCGCAAAGAATTATGTGGGAGGCCCCAGTTTGAGGTCATTCTGCGCTTTCTGCAGCCATTTTTTGTTCCAGGCCGTGTCTTCTCATTTTAAGTTCAGAACCTCCGCTACATATCGTAGTTGACTCTTCCGTGGATCCGGAGCCGCAATCTTGATCGCTTTTCTTTACCGAAGGACTCGCTGGTGAACCGGGCATTATTACTTGATTTAAACATGTGAATACAGATCTGTTGGCACAGTCGGCAGCACCGCCAATAAACGGTTCCTGAGACCATTATATGATTGCGCGGGAGACCCCGGTTCAACTCTGGGACAGGACCGTGTCTTTGGTTCCGGCTCATTTCACTATAAATTCAAAGCCTTCAGCTACTTTAAATTAATATATTGCAGCTCCATTACCAGAATCGAATCCTCATTTTGGTTTGTTGGATCTATCCTTGTGACTTGAACCACGAGCGGTGTTAAACCGACACTCTGTTCCCGATTATAGATCTTCTGAAACTGGACTGCATCCTTTGCGCAAGCTTGAGTCAAGAAATCAAGTTACCTGGAATTGACAAAAACATCGTGTCCCAAATCTGGAACAGACCATTCCTCACATATATCGGCTAATAACAGACAAGAGAAATGCAATCGAACTTCAACATCTAAAAATATTGTTGAAGAACCAGTTTATACGCTTATTTAGACTTCGTTCTTCCGGAACGTGTTCAGTACGAAGTCTTTGGGATCCCATCCTTGACTGCCATCCACGAATCCCGCGCCTGGAGGTCATTGAACCATCTGTGCATCGGGTAATCAGTCCGCGGATGCGTGTAGAACAAAAACTGCCTACCTGGTGACGTTGGGGCCCTTGGTGGTCATAAGGTCACTGCTGGCCTTCTCCAACAGGGCGCCGTACGGAAGGTGGAACAAGTCGACGAGCGTCACTTCCTGTGGATATCCAAATGGATTATAAACGACGGGCTGCGATGGGACAGCGAATGTACGCACGTCTCTGGCAAGGTACTTTTGCTTCCCGAGAATGGCCTCGTACACGTCGAGCGTCGCAGAAAGTGTCTTGAGGTTCTCCTCAAGATTGGCCTTATTGGTCTCCATACCCATCATTCTATAATTGACTCAGACCAGAGGCTCGGAACTAGCGACAGGCCTACGGGTTGAAAACGGCCTCGCTGACCGCCCTCGAGCTGAAAGGGTCGAAGTTCGAGTATTCATTAGAGGCGGCCTGTTTAAAGAGCGCCTTTCCCTTGAGGTTGGTGGGGACGAGCTTCGGGCCTTGGTTGGCATACTTGTCCGCGCGATGTAGCGACAGATGGCACGACTTTCATACAGAATGAAGCCGTCGTCATCCTGCTCAGTACCTTCAGAAAGTGGCTGGAATTAAATGGACAAAAGGCCGGCTCACGATGTATGGGACCTGCCCGAAGGGCTGGTGTGCTCTGGACTTCTTGGACTTGTGTTCGCCAGCCATAATATTTATACTTTGGAAAGTAAATGCGACCTTCTTTTCGATCAGGACAGTCGCAACACGCTTGGTGCAGGTGGAGTACGGGGAGCCAAATAGTTTGATGGTCATGGTTGTCTGGAAGTGGAGCGATGATGTAGATGAGGCGGATTAACTGCTACTTATATAAAAATGCTCGCAAGTTGAACTTTGATGCAACTTTGATGTAAAGCGGGTTCATTTGATCGAAGATCCATTTAATTACTCATAGCTCAAGACCGCCATTGGCAAGAATTGTCGGGCTCATAGTTTGCGCGTTTTCACCGGCTTACTCACCTAGTTGTTACCAAGCCTATTATTCATTTCATAGGAAGCAATGCTGTGTCCATCCTCAGTTCCTAACCAAAGTGGCCGTGACGAAATATCATTGAACTATCTTAACTGATATTATATTCTAGCAGCAGCCGCAAGCGTGCAACCAAACGGGATGTGGAATACGTCTGCGAGCATCGGCTCCTGCAGGGACAAATTTATTTGAACTGGGGAATAACCATGCATGCATGATGGTCCAGGTTTCATCATGCCAATAGGACAGTTGCGACATAGACTCGTAACAAGTCTGTAACCAATTGCCGAAAAATGTGGCAAGCACTTTTGGTGGTTACAGACTGGTACAACTCGGGACGTTGGGCTGTCCGCGGAGTTTGAAAATTTGGTGAGGGTCCTGTTCTGGGCTGCAGTTTATATATGAATGAATTCGGAATGCACAGGAACGAGGATGCTGGTTAAACCTGTTCACGGTCAGAGTTCTGCTTAACCGGAAAATTGGGCAATTGGCCTAATAGCCGCTACGGATGCCTGTGAACTGAATTCTCGCGAAGCTAGGATTTATACTTATCCAGTTAAATGGTTGAACGGCGAAATCGAACTTGAATAAATGGTTTACTGTACTATTACAATCAAATCGACAGGGGGGTGACGCGTGACCCGAATTTCCGATTCGACAGTTCGACAACCCAAAATTTTGGCGTGATGCCAGGAAAAAATTCGACAAAATTTTGGCTGAAATCGAGCTTTTTTGTGAGGGGACGATGATTTTTTGTGTGACGAACCGTCTGGAAGATTCAACAACGGCCCGGGTGACGGGTGACGAACCACCAAAGTTCAACGTCGACAGGTACCCGCGTGACGCGTGACGGTCGATTTGATTGTAATAATACGGTAATATTTTTGTAATTACAACAATGCAGAATTGAGTGTAAATCTCGGACATCGGCGTCGCTGCATTGACCTTCACACCGCAGTTATCTGCACGGCCAGACTACTATGTACCGTATGTATTCTGTGTTTTAGTTGTTTCAAGGTTCAACCCTGTGAACCGGTATCAATACTTTATTTTCAATGTGAACAGTGGCGACTCGGCGGGTATCACTGGGCGCCATAGAGCTTTACGGGACATTTTTCGGAAGCGTGGGGTAAAAATGAGGGCGCTTGTCCCATCGGAGCTAAAGTAACCGGTTGGGCGTGTACAATATGACGAAATTCGCTTGTAAGGAAATGATCAAGGACAATTACTCCGCGGGAGGCCCAGTTCAACTCTGGGGCAGGTCATGAGTCTGGAATTATCTCGTCTTTTTTTCCGGGTCATTTCATTTCATATATGACATCACAGAACAACCTGTTCGCGCAGAAGGTAGCGCACTCACAATAATTCACATAGAAAATTCGGTATTAGGTATGGGGGTGGTCCCAGTGATTGTAGAACTGGGCCTCACTTTGACTCTGGGACAACCCAGGTCATTAGAGAGTTTGCGCAGCAGCTGCTCGAGCCATCTGATGGCTGTTTTGCATTGCCCAAAATGTTGGCTTGTGGCTTCGATGGCTTGGGCAGCTACGCTTGTTGTTGGTGCAATTCGGCCACTTACGAGTCATAAACACCATGGTTGGATGCTAAGACCCTCCACAACTGCCTACAGGCCGATTGGAGCCCCAAAATATATGTTTCTTTGGATTTGGGGCTTTCATGCAGTCGAGGGCCATTCCTTGAGGCAACCATGTATAAAAACATTCAGTCCCTCTCAATCTGGCCCGAAAAGACTTTCATTGGCTTCATTTTATCAGCCATCAATCAGCCATTAGCCACCAGTTTGCACAACGCAAAAACGCCATTGGATGGCTCGAATGGCTGCAGCGCAAACTGGCTATTGAGTCATTTTAGCGTCTGTTTTTCGTTTGGTTTGGTTCATTTAATTTTACTCTGCGCTATATATTTTGGTTCAATTAAGATACCAGAAAAACCTGTTAGCGCCCTCGGTAGCGCACCCACAATGACTTGGTATCGGCAACGATTGTTATGTGGGAGGTCCCAGTTCGATTCCATGATCTGATCGGCGAAGAGCAGTTTTACTGCTTATTATGGTTCAATTAATATGAGAAAAGACCTGTTGGTGCAGATGGCAGCGCACCCACCATAACCTGAAGGGCTCGGCTCAAAGAATTATGTGGGAGGCCCCAGTTCGATTCTGGGATGGGTCATTGATCCACTTTGAGCACATTTTTGCCCGAGCTGGTTCATTTTCATTCACAGCCGCGTATATTCTGGTTCAATTTAATACCTGTAGGCGCACTCGGCAGCGCACCCACAATAACTGAGAAAATGCGGAGAGAAGCTATGCGGGAGGCCCCAGTTCGACTCTGGGATGGGTCATGCATCGTCATGTTCCGGGATCATCAACTATTTTTTTCCTCATCGGTTTCGAACTTCAACGTCATATATTCGATTAATAGGAGAGAAGACTTGTAGGCGTAGTGGGTAGCACATTCACAATGATTTGACATCTCCCCCCATCTTCTAGAATATTTAGGTGGGATGTCCAGTTCGGCTCTGGGGTGGGTTTTCGCACATTTTTAGCCCGGGACGCTCCATTTCAAATTCAGAGCCATATATTGTGGTTAAATCAACATACCAAAAGGACTTGTTGGCGCACTCGGCAGCGTCCCCACAATAACTCAATCCTGAGAGGAACTACGTATGTGGGCGGCCCCGGTTCGATTCTGGGATGAGTCATTAGTCATTGATTTTGTGTTTTTTTGAAGCCAAAACCTTCCGCTCAGTATTTCAGTTCAAAGCGTCGCAGTTATCACTAGTATTTTCTGTGCACTTGGCGGCCCAACCACTATAATTAAATGTTTCTTGAAAGAGCTAAGCATGTGCCGGCTGTTTTATTTCATTTTAATTTCAAAGCCCAGCCAGGTGAAATTTATTCGAGCAAACGACCCATTTGCGCACGCGGCAGCTCGCCCACAATAATTTATCTGATAAAATGGTTATGTGGGAGGCCCCATTTCGACTCTGGGATGGGTCATCCGGGCTTTACTGTGCTCTTTTTTCTGCACACTTAAAAAAAGAAATTGGACTCTAATATATTCTTGTTAAATTAGCGAGATAGAATGACCTGTTAGCGCATTCGGCAGCGCCCTCTATTTGGACAAGAATGTCTTCATGTGGGAACCCAGTTCGACTCTGGTCTGGGCCATGATCGATCATTCATTTGTGAGCTTTTTTGTTCGGGGTCCTTTCACTGCGTTCAGAGGGCCCCTAAAACCATAAAAATGTAGAACCTGTGAGACAGGTCTAGATCAGTTGATAACCGGTCTATGTGCACTTGATTGGCTAGACCTGTCAGGTCTAGACCGGCTCAACCAGGCACATGTTGAGAACCTGTGAGACAGGTCTAGCTCACATAGTGCAGATGTGTCTGCCCGTCTACACTCATGCTGGTCTCGCTGCTGCGAGAGCCGCTTAACCGGCTAGACCGGGGTTGCCATGCCACCTAGATGCACGTGCGCGCCTAGCTCCAGCTATCAATGCCGAGACAGCTCGACACAAACCGGTTTTAAGGACCCTCTGAACTGCTCTGAACGCAGTGTTTCATTTCATTTTGTTGAAAGCCGAACCTACATTGGGAAAGACCTGTTTTGGGCAGATGGTAGCCCGCCCACTAGAAATTCAATCTCAGCGCGCACCTCTAACTTTTTTAGAATATTTCGGGACTACTCAAGTGCGCTCGATGTCATAGTTCAACTGACACGGCAGAATGACCTTTTGGCGCAGAAGGTAGCATACCCACGCTACTGGTGTATTGTGTGTGAGGCCTCAGTTCGAATCTGGGACAGGTCATCGTGTAATTTCTGTGTGCCCGATTTTCATTTTAATTTTTTATCCCGCTTGTTCATTTAATTGTAAACTCAGACCTGTATATATTCTGGTTCAACAAAACAGAAGGACCTGTTGGCGCAGTGGTTAGCGCACCCACAATAACTGGCGCAATAATTTCTCCATTATGTGGGCGGTCCCAGTTTGACTCTGGGATAGGTCATCAGGTTGAATTGTTATTTTTCCGCCAGCCACTACATATTACATTGGCACTAAACTGAAACAACACCACACCGGCAATCTGTTAGCGCAGTCGGAAGTGGCCCCGTACCATATAACAATTCGACAGATCGCTTTGCGGGAGGCTCCCGGGACAGGTTGGCTCGCTGTTGTCTGTGTTTTTTTTTCGGTGTCGTTTAGATTTTTGGTCGTGTTTGTGTCGATTCCTTTCTTCCGCAGACAATTTACTAACACTGGATTTCCAGCCACCAAAGCGCTATGCACCGACGCCATTCCATTACAACTGGCAAACAGCAGTTATGTACAGTATGTACATACACTATTAGGCGGCGGAAATCCAGCCCCGGGCATGAGGGCCCTTCCAGCCCCCGGTACGGGGTGCGCAGGATGCTGGCGTATATGTGGCTGGGGGAGAAGGAAAGACTCCGAAAGAGAGGCAGGGAAAGGCAAGCGCCGACTTTGTAAGTATTTACCGGTATGGCTGGGGAGGGAGGAGAGTGCAGGTAGGTATACGCTTATATGCGACTGGGCGGGATCGGGCGGGCAGGAAGGGAAGGGGAGAGGCGGGTAGACCGAGGGCGGAGTGGGGCAGGGAGGATGGGTGTATGTATGTAGGAGAGGGTGAGGGGCGGGACGATGGAGCAGATTGAGAGGGAGTGGAAGGGGCGGAATAGACACAAGATAGAACAAAAGAAAGAGACTTCGCATTACCCCTCATACCCCTCATACTCGCAGCCCTCGCACGTCGCACCGCATAGCAATCATAGCATAGCACGGTAGCCCAGATAGACGTCTCGTACGGCACGGGCACGATCGTCTGCGGGGGCGTTGGTGCCGGTCCGCTGTGTTTACAAGGATAAAGATGCTCCTGCAAGACGAGACGATTCAATTATATCGAAAATCCAGATTCCAGTCGAGCCCAGTGAGGTTCATTCAATAAGTTTCAGCCCCAAAAGAAGGGGATAGAAACTGGAAAGCAGAGGTAGCGTACATGCTGGGTTACAGCCTGTTTAGATCCGAGGGGTAACCAGAGGGCAAGCAAGGAGCCGATCGGCGATCAGACTGATGGTGTTGATAGCCTTCGATCCAAACACACACACAAAGCTCTCTTCAATTCGACGGGCGCATATGGAGGCTTTCAAAGCTACCTCTGGATGCTACATCTTCCCTCCATGACTCTCCGTTCCCCCCTCTTTTTTGCTTGTTTCTCTTCCCACTTGGGCTTTTTTTCTTGAAATTGCGAATCTGCTGGCTCCGGGCCTTATCGATTAGAAGAACCTGCGTCTAGTAGAGGGTATTACTCCACCCGCGATCTGAATCATCCACGGACAGTCTCGTTCCGGTACCGCCACAGATGCGCCTTCCGCGGCTTAACGGCGTCTTCAAGCTTGTGAGTGACTTTGTTTCCGTCGTCCTATCTTCGGCTTTCACTTTCACTCTCTGCTCCTTGCGGCGTTTTGAGACCCTTGTTTTTTTAATCAGTTTCTCTCGCCTTCCCTCATGCTGAACGATCGCGTAGATCTATTCCCCGCTTTGCAATTGAGCAGACGCGTCGTTGCGGTGGAAGGCGCCCTCGCTGGCGTCAAAGCGCGCACAGGCTGTTTACGTGTTCGCCCCCGAGGTACGTAAAATCCTTCTTTTCCCCATGAACCAGTGCTGAGATCTGAGAAACGGCCAGCTTTCGAAGTCCGGAATCGTCGATCTGGCACTCCATGTTGCTCTTGCTGCTTTACGAATCTTACGATGCCCCGTTCGTGCCATCCTTCCTCGTGCCCAAGGCCTCTTGCCACCACCATCGGATCCCGCTTCGTTCTCACTCGTGTACGAACATAGCACGGACGATTTGAACTCCCCCGCGTCCTGCCAGCCAGCACCCCTTCGTGTATCCCACGTCTCCGTACTCTCCACGCCGAGCATCATAATCACAGCCCGCCCTCCGCCACTCCGCAGGCCATCGCACTGCCCCCAACGCCATTCTACGGCTGCTCACACACCCGCGCCGGCTGAGATGCTCACCAACTCCGCACCCACTACGTTCACTCACCCTCCCCGATCTTCCCAGTGTTGCCCCGGCGCCTACTCCTCCTTCGACACTCCCGCCGTGATCGTGTCCCGCACCCGCTGCGCTTCGTACTACGCCTGGAGAATCGCCGAGTCGTAGATTCGTCGCCACCGCCACCATAGATCAAATCCAAGCGACGCGACACCTCCACCCCATGCGCCCGTGCCACATCTACGACATCCACCATCGCTCTCCTTCGATGCCCCGCGACACCCTTACTTCTCGGATTCGCCGTATGCCACCTCCCGCGCCACGCCAGTCACGTCGCGCGCCGGCACCTACCGCACGTCCCGCTCCGTCTCCCTCGATACCCCGCGCCCCTTATGCTCCCCGTCCGCAAATCGGGCGTGCCGATCTTCCCATGTGCCACGCCCATGGACGTCCTTCGCCACCAATACGACGCACATCTGCATCGCAGCGGCTTGTTCCTCGCCCCGTTTAGCCCGCGCGCGGGGTCTGCGACCTGGGACGGGTAGGAACCTGGAAGATCGTCCCCGTATCGCCGCCGCCATACTCTTCGTACCACCCGCGCTCCTCCCCGACTCTCTTCGTTCGTCTTGACGACCATCGCTCGCCTCGCCTCCGACCGACCCACCAAGTCGTTTGCAGGCTTCTTCTCGCGCTTTCTGTGCGCTCCTGCCGCGGCTACTGGAGTTTGGAATACTGCGTTAGAGTTTACCTACCGGGACAGGCTATGGGGCCTCGTCAGTGACGCAGCCTTCAAGCTCGACTGTGTCCCTCGCGGCGGAGGGATCTTTTGGTATCGGGGCGAGGACACTACCCGCGAGGGCGAGCTTTGGACGGCAGCTTCGTCGGGGGCAGGGTGGGCGAGAAATGCTGCGTTGCGCGGTTCCGAGGGACGGCTGACCTCATCGTGGCAGCTCCATCCTCTTGCTGTGCGTGCGCCGTTGTTACTCCGTTTTTTTGTGGTCGAGGCTGCGCGCAGACGGCTCAGCTCCCCCTCAGGCCCGCCACCGGACAACCTTTCCGTGCGTCCAGCAGGCAGAGATAGCGAGGGTGGGAGACCTCTTGAGGAGACGGGACATACGGTACGGTATGTCTGGCTCCTCTGATGCCACCACCTCATCTACATACTGATCATTCAGTATCTACCAGAGCCGCAATTCCGCTAGCGCCTCCTCCCATAAGCGATTTTTTCGGACGTCGTGCTTCTCGCTCACACGCCGCTGCCCGACGATGCGGTATGGGGAGGCCTACTGGGGGTGCGAAGGCAACCTGAGCACGGTGGGGAATTGCATACAGAGAATCGGGCGCCAAGGCGGGTACGTCCTGGCGATTCTCACCTTCGGCTCAGTACTCATCTTCTCTCACACAGCGCGCCTGTTCCCGTATGTGCGGCTCGGTGTTAGCGGGGACGACGCCTCTTTCGCTTGGGCATCGGGTGGGATACTGGGGGATTGTGATGCCTTAATTTAGCGGGCTGAGGAACCCTTGTCGGCCAGCGCTCAGATCGCGGGACGAGGGTATTGTATGAGGAGGAGCTCGATGGGTACATCTATTTGGCTGTCGTTTCTTTGTGTACTTGCCTCCAGTCGCAGCTCTACATTTTCCGATCATTCCCTCTTTCGTTTGTTTACATTCTCCGCAA